CGTAAATTGTGGGTATTTACCCATGTAAAATAATTGTAATAATAATAGTACAATTTTTAGGAAAATGTAAAAAATTCAAAATTTCTTTAATTCCGTATCAATGGAAAAAATAGGCAAAGTTTCGACTGATAAATATGATTAAATAACCAGAATATTAGAAATAATAATATTTGAGAATTTCGTCGATAGAAGTTATGAATCATTATTTGTAAAATTGTCATTGATCAATGTTTATCAATTTTCAGTCAGTAATTCGCGGAGATTTCATCGACAGTTACTTGGAAGCCTCGAAAGACCAAATTATAACATGCGGCAAAGAACACGGATATACCGAACGTGAGCATCACGATTACAACTTAAAGGAACGGAGGAATTTTTTGAATAACGAACAAAAATATTTCAGAGGTACCACGAGAGATATTCGAAAAAGATACGCAGAAGGGAGCGGACGAAGTTTCTTGCCTGCGATCATGCGTGTTGAAATCACTGGGCATGGTGAGTGAATAAGTATTTCGTTCAATTTTGTTGCTTAAAATTTCCAAAAATTTTCGGTGAAATTTACCTAGCCGTGAAAATCACACGTTACAAAAACAATTGCTTTTCTGTTTATTGTCGAGATGCTGTGACATCTGCACAGATCTGTACGAAACTTGATTCAAATTTAGCGAATTTTAAAAACAACAGATTTCCTTTTGCACAACTGCTGGATGCATAAATGGCGCACAGTTCAAACAATCATTCAAGAATGTGGATTCTTGTTCCAAAATTCTTTTTGTTCAAAAAATTTGAAAAAGAATCTTAGTAGCACAAGATGTCCTTTCGATAATAAATTGAAAATTCTCGTGAATGAGTATTGTGAAACTCGCCAAAAGAATGTTTCTCTAAGGGAACGTAGCAACTCGAAAAACATTTAAATAAGTGTATAAATGTACAAAAAACATTTTTTTCCAAGTTTTTTCCCGCGGTAAGATAGATTACGTAAAAATTTGCCCATCGTCATACTTGTTTCTTCTATTCGAAGATGAACGACTCGAAGTTCAATCTGGAGAAATTGAACGACTTCATCAAGAGTGTGCACGCTGATCAACCAGAAAAGGTGAAACCTTTGGAAAAAGCTGCAAGCGAATGTGCCGATAAAGGTAAGTCACACGTAAAAACAATTAAAAAGACAATGTTCAATTGGCGTTGTTTCCTTCGTTTCAGTTAAAAACATCTCAGACGAATGCAAACTGGCGTTCTCCTACATAGAATGTTTCCTGAGCAAAAATTAAAAATATTCCATCGAGGTTCCCCAAAAACGTTGCTAAAAACATGACAAACTTACAGCGAGCCTCTGAATTCTTCAAATTTGTATAAATTCGTATTTGGAACAAAATATACATATATATTTCAATATTAATAAATAAGACCAAGTGAACATCGCAACGACTTCTAATTCCGAACAGAAACTATCATTTTCACGATACCTAAACATCCACAGAATCCAACTTCAATTTTACTCTAATCGTCGTGCACTGTTCCTTCGAAATTACCATCATCACCAGAACTCACATCAAATATACATAACTTGAAACGTTCATGCTCTCGAGAACCGTAGCAACAGCTCTTCTCTTCCCAAGCACTAAACCACGTTAGAATTTGATCTCCCTCTACGCTCGCAAGAGGAAATTCATCACAGAAAAGCCACCTCGAATGCCACAGCGAGCCGTTCCGTTTCTCCTTGGCTGCTCGCGGATCGATTCTCAGAAAAAGACGACGAACAGTGAGGAAGAAGAGACAAACAAATGAGTCGTTGCTCGACTGCACCGTCATTTCGAATTCCTCGTTGCTGCAGCCAGGGCCAACACGGAAAGATTACAGTATAAACAGCGATAACACACCATCATTAGGAGATGGGTCTGGCTTCGATCCCGTAATTTCCTTTCGAGCAGCTCTTGTTCCACGATCACCAGGTACAAGAGCAAACAATCATTTTCTCGTGACAAATCTGACACGCGGTAATGTAATTAGGTGTGTTTTGGCCGTACTTGAACCGACCTTACGTAAATCCACGCTGGATCGGTCAATTATCTCGTTTCCTACCATACACTGTCAGGTCTAAACACCTGCTATTGTCCCTGCTCGAGGTTCATATAAATATCGTCCCGCGGGAACTAGCCTGGCACGATTAATCAGTGATTCAACGGGGAAACAGTAAACTGTTCTTGTTTAAGGAAATCAAACGACGGCTCAGTTATTCGCAAATTTCGTTTGGATAAAATGAAGAACTTTGCGATTGTTACTTGCCTCCTGGCCGCCACGGTGAGTGAAGATTAGCTATTCAATTCTTTTCCAAACCCCCTTCTAGGCTCTTTCGAAGCACGTTGAATTTTATTATTTGATGACAATTTGGTGGAAGAACTGAGGTATCAGGTTGGTGCGAATGAAACGTCTTTTCAACGGCTGAAATTGACGGGTTGGTACCATATGTTAGGTTTTGTCAGGTCGGAAATTTTTATACGCAATAGACAAGAAGGAATTTGCTGTAGAACACGTGTATTGAATGATAAAAAATTCATAATACAATTGTTTCGATATTGTTACCTGACGTGATGAATAATCGAGATATTCGTGTAATTTTTTTATACAGGGTGGTCCACCTAACGTGACTTCAATTATTTTCATTATTAGTAGACGGCTCGAAATTTTTTTGGTCATAGGGGATACGGTTTCAGAGGATCTCCAAGATAGTGACATTAGATTTTTTTTATGTCCTTTCTTTAAACAAGTTTTCAAGGTCACGTTTAATGTTTTTATGTATAAATTTTGTATATAAAAAAATATATTACATTGTGAACGTTGAATTCGTCTGAATGCCTACTAACTAGTAGGCAAAAAAAAAAAAAAACAAACTATAGAGTTATACATAAAAAAATTGAACGTGACCTTGAGCACTTATTTCAAAAAGAGATAGAAAAGATTTAAGGTGTTCGCATAGAAGGTCCTCTGTGACAAAAAAAATTTTGATCGATCTACTGATAACGAAAATAATTGAAATGGTCAGGTTAGGTGGTCCACCCTGTATAAGTTTACACTTGGGAAAACTGTGGAAAAAACTGCTGAAAATATAAATTTAGCATTTGACGAAGGCTATGGAAATGTTAAGATACTTTAACGTTGGTGAGCAAAATTCAAGACTGGTGACTTTTCAATGGAAAATGAGCTAAGAGTTTTAAGAAAAATTATTGAAAACAATCCATAATCTCACCTACTCACCCGACCTTTCCCCAACAGACTGCGCCTTTTTCACATACCTGAACAATTTTTTTAAGAAATAAATTAATCCGAAATGAAGACAGTGCAAAAACAGCATTCAGAGAATTTTTTTTTATTCAAAGGCTAATGATTTTTATAAATTTGGAACAATGAAACTGGTTAATCGTTGGGAAAAGAAACACAATGTGGCTAAAATTTAATTTGAAAAGAATGCACCAACTTAATACAAGTTTGAAGATGTGATTTTTTCAAATGTGTAGAATTGGTAGTGGAAATTTTTATAAAATATTTGATGATACTTGTGATAATGCAGACTGATGATTGACTTTTATCTTATCTATTTCTGAAAAGTGTGATATTACATCTCTGTGTCACTTCCTCAGAAATTTTTATAGAAATTTGGAAACCAAAGAGAACTTGTTGCAACGAATAATAGAGATTCATGGTGATTAACTTTTATCTTACCTACATTCCTGAAAAGTACTATTACACCATGCTGTTTCATTTCCATAGAATTTTCAATTAAAAATACAATTCTCGAATCTCAAAGAAAACGACACTTCGATTAACATTTCAAGCATAAAAACACCGTAGAAGGCTAAGAATATAAATTTAAAAACTCCACAGACGGTCGTTCGTGGTATAGATCAGGACAACGTAATCGCAAAGTACATGGAGTACTTGATGCCGGAAGTGAAACCCTGCGCCGATGAGTTTCACATAACAGAAGGTGAGAACTCATTGTCAAACTTCAAACAATAGAAGATAGATTGCAAAATCCATTTCAGAAATCTCTATGTTCCTTTAAACTGACGACATTCGCTCCTTTTTTTCACGAATAATCTCACGACGGAGACTCGCAATGATATTTCAGAAGCAGCAACGAATATCCAACGGGCAGATAGTGGCGCTGACATGAGGCAGATGGGCTGTCTGAAAGCGTGTGTGATGAAACGAATGGGAATAGTGAGTACATATAATACATAAAACAGACAATCTTGCAGACCGAACGATTCATCTGAACGAGTTTTATCGATTTCTCTGTACATAGTTGACAGGCCTCGACTTCCATATGGAGCCAATATTGAAGATGATAGACGTAGTGCACGCTGACAACCCAGCTGACAAGGATATGGTAATAAAGATTGCCAATGACTGTACTGCAGAAAGTGAGTAACCACTTTATTTTCTCTTAGAAATACTCTTTTCCATTCTTTTCACGAAGATTCGAACTTCGAGTCTTTTAACCATCTTGCACGTTCAGAACGGCAGCGAAATTCACGAAACGCTCGCTACTGCCAGCATTTCTTAAGTGTCAACGATAATACACACTTCGGACATAATTTCTTTTTGCCAGCATTTTGAATTACCCATCGATGGGTCGTGTCAGCGAACAAGAGCATCGATGACGGGTCACACGGTCTTGAACTCGTTAAGTTTATGAAACGTATACAAAGCGAGGTACAACTAGACAGGAGATGTAAAACTAAACCGAGAATAAAGAATAAAATTTGTTCGTTTGAAGCCTCGTTTCTTGGAAAATCGAGTTTGAATATCTATGAAATACACGTGCACTTGATTATCTCCGTGATGAGTTCATTAACGATTTTATGGCTTTACATGTTGAAAATGACGTCCTTGTTCAAGCATACAAATTCCTGCTTTTCGAATCAGGAAGTCGTGGTTTGACGCTTTAATTGCTCGAAAGCCTGTGTGATTCTTCCTTCGAGCTGCAGAAGATTTACACTATTTCTTTGCGAAATGTGAATTACCGCTGTTTACCAACATAAAAGTGTGAAGAGCAGCAACAATTTGTGAGAAATCTTTAAATTCAATTTTCTCGAAAACTAGGCTTCGTATGAACAAATTTTATTCTTTGTTTCCGGTTTATTCTTACATGTAGAATCATCCCCTGCCCGGTTTACCACGTCTTGCCCCACCCTGTATATAGGGTGTACAATGTTAATCTGTAAATGCGAATTACTCGTAAACTGCCCGCTGTATGAAAAATGGTTCAGAGAGGAATTGGATGATTTGGAGGGAGACATAATCTATAATAGTATAACTAGTTCTTCTGTAAATGGACGCTTAAAGGTCATATGGAGATATCATACGTTTTCTTAAATGGAATCTTTTTATTTACTATAAAAAAGTATTAAGGTATTTATGTCGAAAAACTATTAATTTAGGACATATTTTAGTCTCAATGTTACACCATTGCTTTTTTACAAAATGATAGGAGGACAATGAAACGAAATCGGTCATATCGTTTCATACGAGCAATAAAAGCATGCATTGACAATCAAGTCAGTCTTTGAACAGTTAAACTTTTAACTAAACTCGTTACTTTCGAAATAATATGATTGACTTCGTCCCATTGCCCTCCCATCATTTTGTGAAAAACTCCACAACACTTGTGCTGTTTCACCCGAAGTAACCTTACACTATCATTATTCCGTTTAATATTCTTATTTATTGTCTCTGCCAATTAAGACAATAGGAAAAATTATGTAAATTCAGAACAAGACATACACTACCGGCCATAAGTGTTTACCCACCCTCAAAATAACACAAAAACAAGAGAAATATTAATCAAAAAACAATTTTTTTAATTTATTTTTTAATAGTGCAACATATATCACTAAAAACAATGTTTTTTCCCAATTTTGTTACAAAAATTAACACAATTATTCTAAATTTTAGTTTCGTCGATATTTCCACCGCACGCTTTTATTATTGCTTCGCATAATTTCGGCATCCTGTTTTGTGTAGATGTTGGGGCCGCTTTTCATACCTGTCGGTCTAGTTCTTCCCATAAAAGCTCAATGGGATTCAGGTCGGGGCTTTGAGGAGGCCAGGTCATAATTACAATTTTTTTTTCTCGTTCCAATTGTTCTAAGTATCCACGGCATAATTTGGAGGTGTGTTTGGGGTCGTTATCTTGTTGGAACACGAAGTTTTCTCCGATTAGTCGCGTTCCCGAAGAAAGGGCATTCGTCTCCAAAATTCCTCTGTAGCGTTCTTTATTCAATATGCCATCTATTTTGACCAAGTCGCCCACAGATGTGCTCACAAAACAACCCCAATCCATAACCGATCCTCCTCCGTGTTGCGTTCCCGAAGAAAGGGCATTCGTCTCCAAAATTTCTCTGTAGCGTGCTCGCAAAACAACCCCAAACCATAACCGATCCTCCTCCGTGTTTTACCGTGGGTGATATGCAGGATTCAAGGGCTCGTTCTCCTGCCGATCTTCGGACAAACATCCTCCGTTGTGAGCCGAATACCACAAACTTTGACTCGTCGGTCCAGAGCACTTTTTTCCAGTCTTCCAATGTCCAATCTTTATGCGATCTTGCCCAGGCTAACCGTTTTGCTTTATTTTGCTTGCGTAGAAGGGGTTTTCGCATGGCAATTCGTCCATGCAAACCTGCTTTCCGTAAGCGCCTTTTGACTGTTGTCGAACTTACTGGTTCAGGGCGAAATGCATTTATTTCAGCTGTAATTTCCGGTGCCGTTTTTCTTCTATTACGTTTGCTTATTATTGTGATTGCCCGATCTTCTGCTGATGTGGTTATTTTTGGCCGCCCTGATCGCTTTTTGTTGGATAAACTGCCAGTATCTTTATATTTTTTAACATTGTAGTCCACGGTTCTACGGTTTAACTTTAATAGCTTTGCTATTTCTCTGTTACTTTTTCCGGTGCTATGATGGGACACTATTAGAGCACGCGTTTCAATCGATAATTCTTTTCTCCTCGACATTATTTGAAATTTTCGCAAAATTTATTAAGCACTTGAAAATCAACTGTTTACTGTATGAAAGTTTAATGCAGTATGAAATACAGTATGAAATTTGAGAAGAATAAGATGCCCGTATTATCTGCGTTCAAATTCCCTACCGACCGTTTTAAAAATTTCAGAAAAATGGGTTTCTTTACCTGAACTCTAAAATTGTCGTTTTTCATTAAAAACTGTAAACTCATTTACAGTACCTGATTGTGTATGTACAGAATATTTTGGATGGTTTTTATTAGCCTTATATTTAGGACTTAATGATACGGACATTTTCATAACAATAAAATACCTGTCATTTGAATAGTAACGAAATTTGAAGGTGGGTAAACACTTATGGCCGGTAGTGTATGTATATTCTATCATACTTCGCCTATGTTTAAATCTTTAAACGGCAATGTCCCCAAAGTAAAAACATGTGAGTTATGTCGTTTCGCCTTGCAATCACAGATGTAGCATATGTATGTTTAAAGTGACAGACTTGAACATAAACAAAAGAGTTAACGATGATATAAACGCTGATTCGTTACTTCTGCGTTTGTCGATGTTTAAAAATACCGCCAATCCATATTTATTAACACAATACCCGACGTTTCCTTTGTTACAGTCAAGGGAGAGACGGACGAGTGCAACATCGGCAACAAATACACCGACTGTTACGTAGAGAAGTTGTTCAACGACTAAAGCCAGCTTACCAAAAATTGCCAGTCGAAGGCCAAGAAGTTGTAAACGTACGAGTTTACCACGTGTACTACGTTCAATAAAATGATGTAAGAATACGACGTGTGCATCATTTTACTTCCTTGCCTTCATAAGTATTCATCGAGCTCATCGTCGAAGGTGAATCGATGTCGTGTTTCATTTCTTTATTACTGGTATACACGGCGGAATATTAAAAGCCTTCGAGTAATTAAAATATCCTCGATAACCAGCTTTAGTCTACCGTTGGAATATTTCGGAATTAAAAAATATCGAAAGCGTGGAGTAATTAAAGTCTCGTGAAATATTCTTCCCTCCCTGGGAATCCTTCTTTTGTAATTTTCTAAGTAAACAATTTCAACATTTGCCATGATCAAATGTAAAAAGCTTCTTCTCTTGGAATCCTTTTTTACCATCGATTTCCGAAATTTCTGAAAAGGATTTTCGAAAATTTATAAAAGTGTAAAATTAGTCCAAAATACTTTCTGTCTGGTAAAGATTCCCTAGAACGTTTATTTTGTAATTTTCAAACTGAACAATTCCAATTTTTCCGACGATCTAAGCTTCTTCTCTTTGGAATCTTTTTTTACCACCGAAAATGTGAAATATTAAATCTTGCCTTCAGAACGATTTCCCAAAATTTATAAAAGTGCAAAATCAATCCAAAATATTTCCTTGAAGAAAGCGTCACACATGCTCAGAAATTTCTTCGTTCAATCGATCTCCGGCAACGTCTCTCGATCCACGCTTTGATCGCGACTCAAACGAGGATCCTGAGTTGACATTCCGCGGGGTTTATCCGCAATTCCTTTGGAAATGTATCCGTCGTCTGTAATCGCTGGCAAAGCCGACCATTTGCAAAAGTGTCTCCCCACGGCGTAAGGTCGGCCGTAACTTTATTCCATACTGTATGCCAAGCAACTTCGACCATTGCGGGCTACATTATACCGCCTCACGACGTGAGTCGCTTACGCTAACGCTTGTCTTCATGCTACGCCGTCTGTTGCGACTCGAACATGGACGATTTTCCGAATTATCGAGCGACACCGCGAACGTAGCCGTACATTATTTTTTTTTAATTTTTATCACACGTGATTGGACCTGACAACGGGTGTGGATTATGCGATTGGAGGAGAGATGGTTCTTTGGGTATGAAGGCAACGAAGAGTGATTGATAATGTGGTTGCAGATGGTGTGATAAATAAATTTTGTTTGAACTGTTCGAGTGTGGTAATTAGAGTGTAGAGTATCTTGATCGTGGGTGTTTTGCTAATCGTTCGAGGAACAAACGGTGTGATGAAAATTTTTGCAGTTGGTTTCTAGTGAAATGGTTACTCGTAAAGGTATTTCTAAATCAATGAAAATATATCGGTCGTATCATATACCTATTTTATACATTCCTTGCTACTTATGTTATCTGAGTCATGTTATTAGATTGGTGCACGTGAAACGTCGTTTTTTGAAAATAAACTGTAGATACATTGTGTTTCTTCGCGAAATAATTTTCATACCATTCTATACACTTTCTCCAATTATTAACTAATTTCATTATTTAAAATTTTGAACGAAAAATTGCAGTGTCTTCATTTTGGGATAGTTTATTTGTTAAGAGATTGTTCAGGTGTTTGAAGAAATGGTAGTCTGTTGGATAAATGAGGGTGAATTATTTTCAATAATTTACAGGTAGAGAAATATGCGTGTTTTTGTGTAAATTCGATTTCAATATAATAGAACTTCGATCGTAAATACCTCAATAAATACTCATCTTAGACATAGTACACCTTAATATTTATTTCCCCAGCTTTTAATGCTCTCTTAATTTCCGCAAAGAAATATAGCGTATTCCATGGAAGAAAATCAAAGTGAGCTTCAAAACTTTATGTATAAAAACAATGTAGAAAAAAATAAATATTGTAACATATGTCCCCCATGAAATCATGCAACTTTTGCTTCATACACTATTTCTTACAGTGAATAGTTTACGAGCAATTTCAGGTCGTCACGTTAGGTAAATCACCCTGTACATTATTAACTAATACACGCAGTAAATTCCATTTTAATATAATACTAAAAAAAAAAGAAGAATTCATCCAAAAAATATCCATCCTTTACACTCCATTTTTGAGATCAACGAATTTCTATGAACGATCACTTTGCACGAATTGTCGCTTTGAATCATACATCAATAAATTTATGCAATAATAAATTTAAAAAATTTAACCAACTCGACAACTTGTTGATCGATTTATCGAGTACCATTTTTCCTTGCAATAGGATAAAGTTACCCAATATGAGACCACAGCTTATGTCCGTTACAGAACCCTTATACCAAGTCCACACTGGCCAGAACAGTTTGCAAGCTCCTCGCAGACTGAAGCTTCGCGAACAGGAGCATAATCGTATCCATACTGGAGCTTGCTAATGAGTTCACTGCTCAAGAAAATGTCTACATTACCGACGAACATGGTTCGCGATCTGTTCGTGAACTACTCGCGAACACTAGTGTGGACCCCGCATTAAACCCCGTAGCAATGCTGTTTTGCTTCGTAATTAACCGTGTTAATTATCAAATTAAATATTAAATTTCATTAAAATCAATTAAGCGTCTTGAGCAAGCATATTTGTGTAACACGTTGCAGAAAGTCTTTGAAATGGTTCGATTAAATTACAAATACCTAAAAACTAGTAAGTGCACAATCATTTTTATAAATACTGTCGTATAGTGCATGCAATGGAGTTTAAGGCTTACTAGTTGTGTATCATTAAACTTAATAAAGACTGAACCTCGAAGCTATTTAATAGTTATTATATTATTGTTTCCGAATATGAGACCCTTGGAAGTTCCTATTATACATAATAAGGGTCTCGTATTAGGTACCCAATTTTGTTTCAGTGTACGAAGTGTTGTCATTAAGGTCGACCCACGATGACTGCGGTGGTGAAAAAATAGATTTTATACGCCCAATGTGTGAAAAATGACGGAAAAGATATGTTTCAGGAACAAACAAACCGGGTCTCATATTAAAAACACATTTTTCAAATCTGTATATTTCTATAATTTTCCTTTCGTGTAGACTTTTGGGTACAATCAAAGATCTACATATTGAAAAAGAACGATCACAGATTATAAAACGAAATAATTTTCGTTATTGGTGATGACCTTTCGCCATTTCTCTGGCAGCTTGCGAATACCGTCACGATAGAAACTCGGTGGCTTTGAATCAATTATGTGAATCCAGTCGGAAAGAATTCATTTCTACACCTAATATCATTATTGTTAGGTTTTCTGTAGAAACGGTTCATGGCACGATCGACCGGGAACGTTTATTTTTGAGTTCAGGATTTTCGTTTATTGCTTGCACGGGTCTAATTACATCCTGCGAGGGTCACCAGAATTGCTTTGCTAGATTTTTAGTAATTTGTGTCCCTCGCGCTCAATAGCCTACGAACATACCATAAACCACGAATTTCCGAACGGTCCGCTTGCCGATTAGTCACCCGGAGGAAATTCCAGATTTTTGGGACCTTCCGTCCACCGCTCGCGACCGTCTCCCACCCTTCCAAAGTGACAGCGCGCTAAGGGCGCACTGGAAGGGCGGTAAAGACGATATTAAACACGCTGATTGGCAAATGCAATCGTTCACCATTAACCAATCCCAACAAAAATCCCTCTCAGGGACGTCCGAGACGCGACGTCGGAGAGTTGAGTCGTCGAGTAGTCGTTCAACCACCACGAACAAGGAGAACCAAGGAGCAACCAGCTCACATCACGCGATACCATAGATCAGTTTTTACAAGTCCCAATCATTTGGGTGGTCCTTCGAACCAATATCTAGACGGCACAACATCGTGCAAACATCCACAAAGCTCGAAAGTTCATCGCCACAACCACGGGCATTAACAATTATGAAGGAACCAAATTTTTTTTACTGTACTTTTCAATAGATTACAAAAGAATATATATCTTACTTTTAAAACGTGTATCGAATTTTAGCAAACCTGTTCTTAGTCGAGAGTTATGACTTTTTAAGAAATAGGTCTCATATTAGCCAACTTTACCCTGTAATAATGTACTGTAATGCTAAAATAAATATAATACTGAGAAAAGAATCGACCAAAAACATATCCATCTCTTGCACTCCATTTTTCAGATCAACAAATTTCTATGCACGCTCGCTTTGCATGAATTGTCCCCCTGAATCATGCACACGTTGGATCGACCGCGTGCATACCGGGTGGCCGTAAAGCATCAGTTCGTTCCGCGTTGAAATGCACGCGACGTTCGTGTCTCGAGTGCAACTTAATTATTCATAACGCGTTAACGCCGCTTTGTTTATTCATAAGCCGACCGCCGCGACGTCTGCATGAGCGGCGATACCCTGAATCGCCGAGACCGCTTACTCTCATTCTTATTAATGAAATTGCACGGGCTTCTCTCCGTGAAACCACGAGGAAAGACGAAAGTTCGCGGAATGCACGAGGTCAGAGATACTTTTTTCACGAGCCTCTGTACCGGGTAATAAAGAAATAAAGGAAATAGGTCTTAAAACCTGGAAAATTTCTAGGAGCAATTTGTAGAGTGCGAAGAAAGTTAGAAATATCCGTCAAATTCTGAAGCACCTAATTTCAAAATTATGAAACAGTCAAATAAATTTAGAGACAGTAGTAGGAATGTTTGTATTATTTTGTATTTCTTCCCCCTTTTTTCTGGAAAATAGTATTACTTGTAAGGACGATGGAAAGTTATAAAACAAGATTCGTTCTTTCTTTCTTTTAGGAAGTAATGGAAGATTTAAAAATTGTCATTTATAATCCCGAAGTTTTCTTATATAATAGATTTTTTAACATTTAAAAAGAATCTTCTAAAATCTAATCTAAAAAATCCCTTAAATTTTTACATTTTTTAGAAGATACTTTTAGGCGTTAAAAAATGTGCCAGTGATTATGAAAGTGGTGCAAGTCAAAAACCCCAAAAAATCGAATTTTTCTTTTATTTTACGTTATATCGATTTATATTCCAATATTATAAAAGAATTTTTGCAAAATAGCCGTGAAATAAGCAATGACAGAAAGGTGCCATTTTCGTAACGAGCCACGATAGTTTTACATTCATTTTGATAGTGGTGCAAATTAGTTGTTCTCTGTAAGTAGTATGTGAGAAAGGAAATAATTATATATTTTTGTACGACGAAGGAAAAATATAAAGACATAATAAATTTACGTACATTCTACTAATTCACCACGAATATTTGAACACTCTTAAAATATGAGAAACAGAAAATTTTGTCGTTGAAGCGGAATATTAACAGAAATTAATTAAGAAAAGTTACAAGTATAACACGAATAAATATGTATGCTTTTAACTTGTTTTATTCATAAAATTCATTACTTTTTGATATGGTAACTCCTAATCAGGATATAGGTACTATTAATTTTGAAAACGGCATAAGTTATTCAAGGGTTTAAAAAACACATTTTCGTACAAGTTACTCGTAAAAATTTTACAATAATAGATAAGTTTTATATCGGTAAATCAGGTATTTTGTGAGATATTTTCTTCCATAATGGAAAAATATTTTCCAATATGCCCAAACGCAAAAGTCTAAATATCTCGAAATGAAAAATAAGCGACTTATGCACCACTTTCTCTTTCTTTCACCGCTAAAAACAAAACCACCAAGAATATATCCTCTATAAGTTTAATATCTCTTCTTCTCTCTTCTAATTAGTTATGTAGTAGGATTTTCTTTGGTATCTGGGAAAAACACACAAAAGTTTATTTATCTTTCGTCGATACATGTTATATGTTTGATACAAAATAATTTCGAACAAATCAATGCAGTGTTCAAGCTGTTGCTTTCACTTTTGGATGTCCGGCTTTAAACAGCCGTACTCTCCCGTTACAACATTAACGAAGCGGATAAAACGATTTATAACAATTACCATTGCCAATTACCACAATGTCCAGCCGTTCTTTCCATTCCAGAAGCGACCCAGGCATAGCTCCCGTACTCTCCTATCACAATATTATGTAATACGCGAAAAGTGATTTATAACAATTATTGTGGGAAGGCGTCCGGGTAGCCTCCTGTACTCTACTCCCTGGAAGGCGACCGGCGGATAGTCCAGCCGTTCTCTCCATTCTAGGAGCGACCCAGGTATAGCCCCCGTACTCTCCTATCACAATATTAAGTGATACGCGTATGATCGGAGAGTCCACCCGCACTTCTCCTGGTAGGCGACCGGCGGATAGTCCAGCCGTTCTCTCCATACCATCAGAAGTACTAAGAAATCCTCTCCGAGCTTCCTCAGGCATCCGGGTAACCTCCGTGTACTCTCCTCTCTAAGAGGCGACCGGCGGATAGTCCTCCTCTCCTCCAGAGAGTGACCCAGGTGTCAGTCCCCGTACTCTCCTGTGTTGTAAGGGCGTCCGAAAACTAGGCTTCGTACTCTCCCACTCTGAAAGGCGACCGATGGTAATACCTCGTTCTCTCCCAGCAGAGTACAGCAAGAATGCCCGGCCGCTTTTTTTTTTTTTAATAATTTTCTCATGCGTGGTTTGTATGCGGTACCCGGGGCAGTTTGTTGCCTTATTACCCGCTTGTGACCTGGAAAACTTATTGTAAGTATTTGCATAATTTGTGGTCTTGTTTATATAACATTCTTGAGTCATGCAGGATAAAAGTTTCAAAAACCTGTGTTGCGTGGAGAGGTGGTATTAGTGAGGATGGTTTTAGTGAGATTAGTGAGGTTTGGGAGCTTGTGGTTTGATGTATTTGTTGGAAGGTATGTGCCAGAAGTTCAGCTTTTTCTTTGTTTGAGTATGCTGTTGATGCTTGTGCTGTTTGTTTTGCAGTGTTTTGTATGTTTTCCATAGTGAGCTGTCAGCTGTGGTTAGGGTTTTCAGTTTTTGTTGCCAGTGGGTTTGCTTTATTTTGGAGATGTGTTTGTCTATGAGTGCAGTGAGATAATTTCTTACTAGTTTATGCTCTGGGTGGCCTGTTTTTTGGTATTTGCGGCGGTGTCTGTTTCTAGTTTTTATTAGCTCGAGGAGTTTTAGATCTGGTGTGTAGGTTCTGACGTATATTTTGGTTTTAGTAGTGGCTTGGTTGTATGCGTTTTGTATTGTAGCGTTTAGTCTGTGGATTTCTTTGTCTAGGTCTTGGGTTGTGTGAATGCGGTGGTTTATTCGATGTCTGTTGCAGGATGCTTTGTAGGCGTCCCAGTCTGTGTGTGTTAGTAGTTTGTTTGTATATGGAACGTTTGTGTTGCCTATAGTTAGGATGACTGGCAGGTGATTTGATGAGAGGTCCTGTATTGTGTGGCAGATAGTTTGTGCTGTGAGATTTGTCGAAAGGGCATCTGTGGGTAGTTAGTGAATCTAGTTGTGGTGTGAGTTTTTGTTGAGGTGGGAGGTAGGCTGCTCCTATGATTATGGTGGGTTTTGTTTTGACTTTTATAAATGTGGTGTGTGGTTGCGGGGTGTGTTCTGTGTGGAGGTTTTTATGGATGATGATAGCTACTCCTCCACCTTTCTGGATTGTTCGGTCGTTTCTACATGTTTTGTAGTTTGGTATATGTAGTCTGTCTGTTGGTTTTAGCCATGTTTCAGTTATTATAGCTATATCTATTTTTTGGGTTTCTAAGAAAAGTTGAAGTTCTTGTGTCTTGTTTTTAAGACTAGTGGGATTCCATAGGAGTATTCTAGTCATCGAGGAACGTAGATACTTCCAGGAAGGCCACGAGCCTTTCTGTGTTGGTGGTACAGTTTTTTAATTTGTCCGCTAGCATTTTAAACGCTGTGATCAGTGTTTTTATGTCGCACATTGAATTGATATGAGAAATTGTATTTTTTGGGTTTCTAAGAAAAGTTGAAGTTCTTGTGTCTTGTTTTTAAGACTAGTGGGATTCCATAGGAGTATTCTAGTCATCGAGGAACGTAGATACTTCCAGGAAGGCCACGAGCCTTTCTGTGTTGGTGGTACAGTTTTTTAATTTGTCCGCTAGCATTTTAAACGCTGTGATCAGTGTTTTTATGTCGCACATTGATTTGATATGAGAAATTGATTGGAATATTCCACGTATATTTTGGAAGTCGCTGTTGTTGCTTGGTGGTTCAAATTGATTGTGGGGAGTATTTCCTGTTGTGTTTCTCACTATTGCTTGTGCGTATGTTCTGCTGTGAGGTAAGGTTGGGTGGGTTTGTGATTTTGTTGGAAAGGAAGGTGTTGGTATTGGTGCGTGGATTGTGTTGCTCTGAGTTGGTGGTTGGCGAGGACTTGTTTGGATGTGTGCACGTTTGGCCAGGTAGGCTAGTAGTGCTAGGCATTGATTATAATTTGCTGGGTGGTCCCCTTTGCAGTTGAAACATGTGGCTGAAGTGTCCCTGGTTTTTAGGCAGTCTTTGGTTAGGTGATTTTTTGCGCATTTGACGCAGTTTGGGTTCTTGTTACAGTTTGCTGAAGTATGTCCGTGTGCTTGACATCGGTAACATTGGATGAAAGGTTTTCTGGAGTCATACTTCTCCCAGTAAATCCTTACTCTGAAGAGTATACCTATCTTCCTGACGTGCTCGAATGATGTTCCTGAGGCGAATGTTATTTTGTACACTGGGTGTGTATTGTGTGGGTCTTTTTGGATTTCTGTGCATGTTATTGGGTTTACATTATTTAATTTTAGTTCTTCTATTATTTCTGTGGGTGCGAATTTCGAGAGCCCTTTCAGGACCATGGCTATGGTTTTTTCTATAGCTCCCGTACTCTTCTACCACAATATTAAGTGATACGCGTATGATCGGAGAGTCCACCCGCACTTCTCCTGGTAAGCGACCGGCGGATAGTCCAGCCGTTCTCTCCATACCAACAGAAGTACTAAGCAATCCTCTCCGAGCTTCCTCAGGCATCTGTGTAACCTCCCTGTACTCTCCTCTTTAAGAGGCGACCAGCGGATAGTCCAGCCGTTCTCTTCTCTAAAAAGTGACCCAGGTGTCAGTCCCCGTACTCTCCTGTGCTGTAAGGGCGTCCGAAAGCTAGGCTTTGTACTGTCCCACTCTGAAGGGCGACCGATGGTAATACCTCGTTCTCTCCCAGCAGAGTACAGCAAGAATGCCTGGCCACTTTCAGTGCCTTGCTGACTTCAGTTTGTTTTTGCTCGCCTCCGTAGTCGGAGGTTCCAGGATTTTGGGATTCTTCTTGTTTTCCAAGGTCAGGTGACCTGGTGAGGTCCGGGCTGCTGCCTGTGTTTTTGTTCCTCTGCTCGTAGTGTGAATGATGTTCTTGCTCTGGAGGTTGTTTGTTCTTCCTCTTTCGGCGGTGTGTTTATGTTAGGTTAGATTTTTGTGCTGTTCTTGTTTCACGACCTTTAGTGCGTACTGCTCCGTGGTCGGTCAAGGACGTACTCAATCACGATGATGTTTCTCGAATCGAATAATTGAAGTAATTTGTTCCAGATCCTTCAATTTATAATAACGAAGCGATATGCGATTGAAATCAATGATGATCGAATGATCAGGAATGGCTGAATCATCATGCCCGGCCGCGTCCGCGGCCGTGATATTTATATTTGACCGTTGCTAATGATGTGCGGCTTATCAACAAGTCGCTTCCCGCGCGAAACCGCGAGACTCTCGCGCAAAACCGCGAGTCTACCGCGGATTGCGAGCTAGATTGTTCTGGAAGCTTCTATCGCTTCGCGATTATTTGATTGTCGACAAGGATAGAGAGTCGTCCCTCTCACTTCCTCTCGCGGAATGGAAATTTTTGTCGCCGTTTTCGTTGACGGTTGTTACAGTTATCAGTAATAATAATATAATAGATATTATTATATTGTATTGTATTAGTATCATTACTAATAACTAGACTTTAACAAGATAACAAGATTTTTGAGAATATAGTAAAAAAGGTAAAACTTCGGTAGAAAATTATTTCACCTTTCAGGTACTATAGAAAGCACTATAATTTAGATATTTTGCATATTTTTTCATATTACGTGCATTCTGTGCAATCTTGCACCTTCAAATTTCCTATAAATGCATAAAAATCCGGGGTCTACTATTATAATAACTTATTAGAATATAAGTATCGATTGCAAGAAGCAACCAGAAGTCATCCTTAAGCCGCAAGGCGGTAGGATTACGAGTAACAAGTAAATAATAAATAAAATATATCCAGCTTCTTGTGTGTTATTCCAGCAATTAAGATCATTTGACGAAACTGCAGAAAATTAAAGAAATCCATTCTTCTTTTAATCACAGCACAATTATCATTATTATTGTCCAGAAACCATTATAGCCACCACGCTCAACGACGTAATGTACTTTTTCGTCCTTCAGACATGTCACGGTATCGTTTTCGCTGACTGATCCAATTTTCGTACATCGTGCATCAAGCAACACGGGTATTTTGTTTAAAATCTGGAACGTTCGTCAACAATGTCGCCTTTTCCGTGACCGAAGGCAAATATAAGCACCGACGCTACGCAACTGCGACGCACAATTTGCAAAATATACCTTCGAGGTGTCACGCTGAACATTTCCGTCGTTTTTTCCAAACAAAGATCGGTCGTTAAAATGAGGAACATCTTCGCGATTCTCGTTTCCATACTTGCTACCAGCGTAAGTGCATTCATTTATATTGTTTTTAATTAAGAAACTTAGAATTACTTGAAGATTGAACGTAAAAAGGGACTTTCATCTTTTCTTATAATATAAAACATATTTTTTTTTTTTGTTGA